ACAAAAGTTAAGGCCATTTCAACAATTAAATCTCTGCATCACAAAAATGTTTTTGCATTTATGCCAATGATGATGTTACTTCAAGTTAAAGGAATGAAAAAATACATAAAAAATCCCTTAGAGTTTGCTGTCAATCTAAACCTTATCAACCCCTCATACATTGTCCTTTCTGGGTTTAGAAATCCTGAATAGTTGAAGGCTTGTTCGTTTGGTAGCTTTCCAGTACCATCTGAAAATTCCAGCAGTCTGAAACAAGATGGGCTATAATTAACTGTTGAAGCTGAGTCGTGGGTTCATGGAGGTTCAGTATTCTATTCTCTCTACTTTTGTACGTGTTAAAAATTTCTCATGATAAAGTTTTAAAAATAAACTATATCTACTTTCCCTGAAACCTATTTTAAAATACATTCTATCAGGCAGCTTTCTTCAAATTTTAGTGTGACAGAAGTCCCTCACTCATTAGCCATGCCTAAGAAGAATGCATTAAATCTCTGTCCCTTCAGCTCTGCTTTGCAATTTTTCTTTATTGAATACTCTTCTTCTATTTCCGTCATCCACTTATTCACAGCACTTGGTCTCAGAATGTCGCTATAGACTTTTTATTTTTTTGAGACAGGGTCTTGCTCTGTCACCCAGGCTGGAGTACAGTGACACGATCATGGCTCACTGCAGCCTCTACGTCCCCAGGCTCAGGAGATCCTTCCATCTCAGCCTTCCAAGTAGCTGAACTTCAGGTGTACAGCAGGAACCCTGGCTCATTTTTCTAATTTTTTGTAGAGACAGAGTTTCGGCATGTTGCCCAGGCTGGTCTAAACTCCTGGGCTCAAGCGATCTGACCACCGTGGCCTCCCCAAGTTCTAGGATTACAGGCATGAGCTGCCATGCCTGGCTGACTTTCTCTCCAATACTTCATTCCTCCATAAATATAAATAGAGAAGAGAAAAAATCCTGTGCCTAATGTAATTAAAGTTCTATTATGTAATCTATAGTCTGGGGTCAGCAGACATAATTACAAATAAATGCCTCTAGCAAAAATAATGAAGGAAACTTCAAAATGCAAAACGGTTCCAGAAATTCTGAAACAGTAAATGAGTTCTATCCTACATCACTTGTTCTAAAACCATAAATGAGTCCCTATCCCATATCACTTTTGAGAGGTCTCAGTTTTTGCCTACAAAAATCAATAGCTTGCCAAAAATTGTGACCAAAACTTGAACAGCAGAACCAAAACAGGGTATTCGTTCTTGGGTAGGGAGGAATATAAGGATTAAAATTACGCTTTGCCACCTTAGTTGGCTTGCTGCGGGGCTCTTTTCCTGTACCTTCCAACGTCAGAATGTGGCTCTCAGATCTTTTATTTAAACCCTTACATCCATTTCTCAAAGATGTCTTTTTCTTTCCTTTCTTCTGCTTCGTTCTTCTGTGAAAAGAAAATAAAACTTCAGAAGCTTCCCAATTTATTATGCCATGGTCAAAAGTTAAGCCCTGGAAACTGAGTTACAGCTGTTTTTCTTCTCTGGTGAATGACTATTGCTTCCTCACATTTGTGTTGAGATGTTACACATTAACAAGATTTCCTATTCTTTATTCAAACCTAGGCCAAATGAGATAGAGACCCTCGTGATGTTTACCTCTTTTAAAATTGAATATTAAGCAATCCTTTAAAGTGTAATCAAATCTTCTGTGTGTTAGCCTTCGTATGGAGAATGTTGTGATTCTGTTCCACACCTGTTTTTGCCTATATAAAAATGATCTTTATTATCCCCATACTGGGAGCACTAATTATCATTCTCTGGTGTCCAGGTATGCCGGACAGCTACCCTTACTCTTTGCACTTTAACTCTTCTAATTGGATCCCGACTCTTTTAAATTATTTTAAGATGACCCTTCCTTTCCTGCTTTGTAAAATTAACAAGCTAAATAAGAATAAGAATCACCTCTCCTCTCTTCTTCTGTCTTAGATTTCTCCACATTAGCCCCACACCCCCTTGTAACACAGTTGTTTTAACTCGACAACCCTTTCTAGGCACCAGCTTCAGAGAGGGACAGGACACTGTCTTCACGAAGCCTGTCTTCTCTCCTTTCATGATCTTTTGTTCCACTGCCCTCTCTTGCAGAAAGGTAAGGGCTTGTTTAACTTTAGCCCTGGTTTGGATTCAAGATCACTGCTGCCACATTTAGGAATTTTTGTTTTATTTCGTTAAACAAAACACATAAGTAATGCATATAAAGTAAAGCAAGACTCACTCAGCAGCTCCTTTGAGGATGATCAGGAGGTTTGGGGGCCCCTTCCCACTAGAGGGCATGGGGCAATGTCCCTGTGGCTTCAATCATCTCTACTGCCACCTGCCCTTCCACACCAGGCTGACCCCTCCCTGCCCCAGCCCTATGATTCTAGAAAGCTCTTTAGCACACATAACAGGATCCAGACAGAACTTGGACCTTCTCTGTTAGCAAAAATTGAAATTCCTGAAATTGACTGAACTCTCCATACAGAGGGAGCTCAGCCCCCATCTCCTTGGTTTCAGACCCTTCCTCAAATAAGGGTTCTGACCCCTCAGGAAAGCAAGGGCTCTAGACACAGACACACCTGAGCCCGAGGGAGTCAGAGGGGAGGTTTGGAGGTGCCAGGAACTAGGAACAATGAGCAAAGCATGTCAGTCTTACCAGGCCATGCCCACCATCACACTACAGGTTTGCCAGCATTTCTATTCCTTACGAAACTGCTTTGACCTTGTTTTACAGGTTAGGAAAAACTGGTCCAGATTTCTCCAGTTACTTGTAAGAAGCCTCCTTTGGTGTCTGGGCCACCGCCACCAACCCCATGGGCAGGACAAGCTGGTGCAGATCAATGAGGCGCCAGCACAGCAGTAGCCACCCTGCTGGTGTGTATGATGCTCCTTTCCCCCTTGCCCTCACGAGAACAGCAGACCTTGGCAAGTGACTTCTATTTAGCACTCTCCAGTCAGACCACCAGAACACAACTGTGGTTGAACAAATTGTGTTTAATGCTCGATGCATTGAGAGGCCACACACACTCTGGGGTACTGTGGGCACCTCAGTAAGCGGCTGTCAGAAAGAACTTTGAGGATGGGGGCCTTGCTCAGGTCATTTGCGGGAGCGTTCCTCGGATAGGGGTGTGCTTTGAATTGGGTGCTGTCAGGAAGTGGAGGAGATTATCTGATTTAGATCCTAGTAAATCTCATGTAGCACAGATGAGAGCAAAGCTAAAATGGGAGCTGGTGAAGAGGAGCAGGCACTCGGATGAGGAGGGAGGGGAATGTTTGCGATTTCAGGGTTGACACAGTGACCTTGTGTTGTCTATGCTCATATGAAATGATGAAGCGGATTTGTTTTTTGTGTCACTTCATGACAGTTACAGCATGACCTTGTCTGAGAGTGGTGTTTTGGGATTTATGTCGAACAAGAGACATCGCATCCCAGCGATGAACGCCAGGATGGCTCCTGACAACAACAGAGGACAGCTGTCTCAGGCTAGACCCTGTGCTCCTGACATCAGAGGGCAGCTGTCTCAGGCTAGACCCTGCCTGTCAGGGGATGCTTGCTTTTCTCACGTCTTCAGCTTCCTCTTTCATGCTTAAGATGTTACAGGGAATAAATAAAGCAGTAGAGCCTAGTATCCCAGAACTACTTATGATTTAAGTAGCTAATATTATATACTTTCCATTGTTTTGCCAATTGGTCTCTCTCCCTAGAGGACTTCTGTGTAAAAGGGCCCCTTCACCAACTACCACTCCTCAGCACCCTACCCCAATACTAAGTCCAACATCTGACTTATGCAAACCAGGAAGCAAAGGCCTGAACTTGGATCTCATGCCTCCTGATCCTTTGCTTTCCCATACACTAGGTGGACTGCATCAACTGGTGACCAACCCACACTGGAACCTGAACTCTGAATTACTGAACTGAATCCAAAATTCCATGGGAGAGCAAGGTCAGGGAAGCAAAAGCAAGGGCAGAGAATGTATAGGTTTCCTATCAGCGAGGGACACCTGTGGGGTTTACCTGGGTCCCATCTAGCTTTGCAAAGCACACACACAGGTGTCGGGTAGGTACTGCAGCGAGACCCAAGGCTAGAAGCTAAGCAGTATTAGGCATCTTAACCTTATTCTCCTCCTCTTACCCCAAGAATCACAGCCCCTTATTCTACATTCTGTACAAATTTTCATCTGAGGGCAGGTTCTACGGTGAGTTCATTCTTCATAAACCTCCAGACTCCTCAGATGACATAAGTACTTAAAAAACCAAGTCAATTAATGGCCCCCAAGGAAGAGGGTTTTCTCTCCATTCTACAGCCTTCACCCTCCTGCTGAAGCCTCATACATCTGCGAAAGGAAAAGAACATCTTGAGACCCGAAACTCAGTATACCAAAGGGAAAAGTTAAGGTCGGAAGCTGAGTCACAAAACAACTGTCTTTCCTTTTGGTCCTAAACAGATAGCTACAAGAGGCCACATCTCCCCAGGAGGCCTCCCGGAATGTGGGACAGAGGAGAGTAGAAATCAATCCCACTGCCCACCCTCAGTTGAATGCAGATTTGAATTTTTCCTCTATTATGTCTATCTTTTATAAAGTGCAGTTTTGCTGAGAAGACATACTCGGCTGTTCTACCCACTCCTTTCCACGTGCAGCATGTGGATTCAGTGAGCGTTAATCAAAGCCTCCTAAGAATGTGACCATACTCTCCTCTTGTTTTTCTTTCCTCCTTTCTCTTCCTGCCCACTTTTCCACTTTAAATACTGAAGCCCTCCAAATCCTCTGAAGAAAGTGCAGTCCATTGATCCTACAGTGGCTTGTGTCCCTGGTGTGTTCTCACCCTTGGCAAAATATACCTGTACGTTGACCAAGACTTGGCTCCATCCTTTTCTTTGGTTTACATGTCAAAGCTGGAATATACAACATACCTAGCCGAGCAATTTCAACTTAATAGTTGTTCTCCGGGCTTTGGGATAGCAGAGATAGAAAAATATGCAGAAGCCGTTTCTCTTCAAAGAATTTTCAAACAATTTATTTCACAGGAGAGGTGGAGAAGGCCAATAGAATGAGTCTCTCCTTCACAAGTTTTATAACCCATTAAAAAAGTATCTTTCTAATCCCCTCGGAGTGGAAACAGGTAATTCTCAACCTGGAGACAAGCTCTAAGCACAGAGCTCTCACCTGCTGCAGGAGGCATGAAGGCTCACTCCTAAAGTTTTCTTGCATTTATTTTCCATTTTCTTAGCACAGAATATTCTCTCCAACAAGGTCCATTAAGAGAGACTGAAATGTAAATGCAGCTGCACTGGATTCCAGAGGAGGACTTGATCAAATACATAGATATGGTGGCTTCAGCCATCAAATTATTTTACTTCTAGCCAAGTTAGATACAAGTCTGTTTTCTTCTCAAAGCTCCCTTACACTTCGAGGAAATAAGAACAGAATTGGACTGCAACCCACAATGCAAGTGCCCGAACTCCTTTTCCATGAAGAGCTTCTACAGAATTCCACACTCCCTTAAAGTACAACCTCACTCTTTCTCTCACTCTTGGGAGAGAAAAAAGTGAAAGATGCCTCCAAGGAACTGACAACCTAAGTATGATCCCCCCAAGGCGGTAAATACATGTTTTATTATAATCATGTGGAAGATAAGCACACAATTATAAGTCTTTTCTGCACAATTTAATGTCATTTCTGACTCTGGTATCTCCTAACCAAAATGAAGTTATTTTTCCTTTGTAAGCTCCTAATGTCTTTTGTTCAACTCACTTTAAAACATAAAGGAACTGGTTGGGCACAGTGGCTCAGGCCTGTAATTCCAGCATTTTGGGAGGCCAAGGCAGGTGGATCACAAGGTCAGGAGATCAAGACCATCCTGGCCAACATTGTGAAACCCCATCTCTACTAAAAATACAAAAAATAGCTGTGCATGGTGGTGTGTGTCTGTAGTCCCAGCTGCTCGGGAGACTGAGGCAGGGGAATCGCTTGAACCTGGGAGGTGGAGGTTGCAGTGAGCCAAGATCAAGCCACTGCACTCAAGGCTGGAGACAGGGAGCCTCTCAAAAACAAACAAACAAACAACAAAAAAACAAACATAAAGGAACCTTAAAAAGCAAATGAAGGCTGATACACCAATAAAATCACTTATGCCCTATTGTATTTTGGTAACTCTAGATGGGCTCTGATTATTTGGTCCTAATGTGAAGAGATTGTTTAGAAATAATTTCATTCATAAAACCCACTGTTGAGGCTTTCACGATACTGGCTCTTAACATGAAAAGTAAGAGGCAAAATGTGATGCTGCAACGTAATCGATTTATTCTTTGTTTTTCAAAATGCGTTGTCCCTAGGAGCTAGCAGGCAGCCTGGGGCTGCCAGGAAAAAGGACGGGACAGCTTCATCCAACAGCGCCATCTGCCCAGTGAGGCTGGGGCTGAATACCAAACTGTGCTGAATTACAAGGTGTTCCCCCAACACGTGTTATTTCCATAACTTAAAAATTTTAATTTCTTTTTCACCCAGACTTGTCTTCTGAGGCAAAAAAATGAGTCTTTAAGACGGACCCAATCTGTGTCACCTTTTTATCCCTCAGCTCCTATCACAATTTCTAGAATGCAATAGTTGCCAAATAAATGACTAATTAAAAATCTCCCCATCTGGGACATCTTCTGGAAAAGTCTACGTGGGCTATCTTTAGTACTAACCCCACAACCAAAGTTTTCCCTCAGTTAAAAAAAAAGAAAAAGACTGATATGGTTTTTTTCTGTGTCTCCACCCAAACCCCCTGTTGAACTGTAATCCCCAGTGTTGGGAGATGGGGACTGGTGGGAGGTGATTGGATCACAGGTGGTCTAGCACCATCCTCCAGTACTGCCTCGTGACTGAGTTCTCACAAGGTCTGGTTGTTTAAGTGTGTAACCCCAGCAGAGCAAGGTGGCTCATGCCTATAATCCCAGTACTTTGGGAGGCTGAGGCAGATGGATCACCTGAGGTCAGGAGTTCAAGATCAGGCTGGCCAACATGGGGAAACTTCAAACACAAAAATTAGCCAGGTGTGGTAGCTCATGCCTGTAATCCCAGCTACTCAGGAGGCTGAGGCAGGAGAATCTGTTGAACCCAGGAGGCGGAGGTTGCAGTGAGCTGACATCGCATCACTGTACTCCAGCCTGGGTGACAGAGTGAGATGCCATCTTAAAAAAAAAAAAAAGTGTGTAACCCCTCCCACTTTGCTCTTCCTCCTGCTCCTGCCATGTAAGATGAGCTTGCTTCCCCCTCTGCCTTCTGCCATGATTGTAAGTTTCCTGAGGCCTCCCCAAAAAACAGAAGCCTATACAGCTCACAGAACCATGAGCCAATTAAATTTTTCTTCATAAATGACCCAGTCTTAGGTATGTCTTTACAGGACTGCTAGGATGGACAAATACAATGACTTAGCAAATATTTTTTGTTTGTTTTGAGACAGAGTCTCACTCTGTCACCTAGGCTGGAGTGCAGTGGCCCAATCTCAGCTCACTGCAATCTCTGCCTTTTGGATTCAAGTGATTTTCCTGCCTCAGCCTCCCAAGTAGCTGGGGTTACAGGCGCCTGCTACCATGCCTGGCTAATTTTTGTAATTTTAGTAGAGACGGGGTTTAATCATGTTGGTCAGGCTGGTCTCAAACTCCTGACCTCAAGTGATCCACCCACCCTGGCCTCCCAAAGTGCTGGGATTACAGGCATGAGTCACTGCACCCGGCCCCATATTTTTATCTTTATGTAAATATAAGGCAATGAAAATGGAAGGCTCCATTTTTTAGTAAAGGTATTTTAGGTATTGATAAAAAGAGAGGAAAGGAAACGAAGAAATGGGGAAATACCTTCTCTAGACATTGTGTCACCTTGCTTGTGACAGGCCTATCCTATAAATACCATTGACAATGTGAAGCCAAGGAAAGAAAAACACATTCTCAAGAAAGTCTTCTCTTCCTTTGGCATTCACGGCAGACAGATATGGCTTTCCCAACAGTCTCTGTTCCAGCTCAGTCCAGTTCAAATGAACTGCCTCAAAAGATGGACAGCAGCTGGGAGACTCAAGACTTACTGGCACATTCCCTGCTCTTGGTCTATGAGGTTCCCAATTATTCCCATAATTGGGCCCACGCATGTATTCAGATGACAATGCTGTCCACCCACAGGTGCCCTGGGTAGGCATCTGTGGGAAAAAGAAGCCCTACCCATGATGACTGTAGGCTTCACTGAGGCCAGCATGGACCTGTGCCTGCCACGCTTCTGGGGCAGAGAGTGGTGTGAACCCAGCTGAGGATTTCTGAAGCTGTGGGTCCCGCATGACTCAGAAACAGGCCCAGAAGTGGGCTGGCTATCCAGATACCAGAGACCAATCACATTCCTACTCCTTCCTAAAACCAGAGGCTGGAAGCCGTCTCCTTATTTGGGGAATGGATCTTTCATCTCATAGCTGGCTAAGAGGATTTTATATGCAAAGTCCTGAAAAAGAAATTCACTGTGATGCCCAATTATCCCTAACTTATTTTCACTGATATTCTCAATTTGCTATTGCCCAGATACCGTTTCCTGAATTAAATTCAGTTGATCTTTTTACTCAAAAAAGTGATGAGTTATCTCCAGAACACTGATTTTATCAACCTTGAGAGTAATGCTGCCTTTATATATTATAATGACCAGAATGTTCTGAACATTTTCATTGCTTCAAAATTAAGTTTGTAATAATTACTTGGACATAAGACCTGCCACTGACTCACACTTTATAAAAAGAATTTTAAGTCCACGTGTGTAGCATTACCCGGATATAATTCTCTAGGAAGAGAATTCCCATTTTATTCATTTATTTATTTTTTGCAAACAATTTTAGAGGAAGGGTGTTAAACCGATTAAAATTTCACAAGATTGACATTATTGCTTAAAGTGCTTGAATTGGTTACATTAAAAAAAATTAAGGTACAGATTATTTTAAATAAAAACTACAATACTTTTAGCAACAAAATAATAGGAATGCCACACAAATACAGTAACTATTTTGGTTATACAGAAATGGAAGCCAAAAATAAATTAATGTAATACTGGAAAACAGAAATTTAATTAGGCAGAAAAGTAGGAAATAATTTTCCCTGACCCATGCCATTTACATGAGTTCATCACAATAGTGCTGATAAATGCCTTGACCATATAACAGCAAATGAGGGCAAAACATTTAGTGCACAATATTTTAATACACATGAATATACAAAGTTGATCAAAATGCAATGTTGAAAGATAAAATCCATCTGTAATAAAGCTACACTCCAATATCTAAAATAAGCCCTAAGCTCCAGTTAGAACATAGTTCATTATCAGGCATGCCCATGAAATCAAGGGTATCCATGAAAATAAATGCATAGGGACCATTTCTGACATTTTTTCCCCATTTTATCTTAAGTTCAAAATATACCAGGCCATAAAACCAAATATGATTGACTTCCCATTCAAACTAATGCCCTGCTTGTGTTGTGCCTAGCTCTCTTCAGACCAGTCCATTTCCTATGACAATGACCTTAGAAGGGAAAATGCATCGATATAACAGGACCAGATGTGAGCATTTTACCAAGGTTTACTTTTAAACACATGACTTTTTAGCATACTATGCCATAACCTAGAGGCTAAACTAGTGAGTAATCAATAAAGCAAATGTTCCTTCTGTTTTTTTTTTTAAGTGTAAAAGATTGTAACTTATTTTTTAACACCCAGCACTTAAAAGAAATATAGCAGGCCTACTCACTCCTGCAGATGACACACAAAACCCTTGGCCACTGGAGGGAATACTGCGAAGCCTTTGTGCTACCGCTGACCTCAGATTGGTCTCCCATCTCCCACACCATTTCCTGCTTTACACTATGAATGAGGGATGAAAACTAAAAGTGTTTGCATGCTACTGTCTTTACACAGAGAGACATGATTGGGAGAAACATGTAGCTGCCTAGTGTTTGTTTCGTTTATTGAGGAGAAGGAAAGAAAAATTAGCAGATAGCTCTAAATTTTAAAAAACGAATGGAGTGTTGCTGGAGAAGTATGTTTTGGTCTTTTACCTATCTTTTTTTCCTGCACCATACAACTGTTTTAATGCCTTTGCAATATTTTCTTACACATATCCTTTTTCATTCCAAAAATGTATCCATGAATGCTAAATTTTAACTGACTCTTTCTATTAAAAGGAATTACTTTGCTTAAATCACTGGGAAAAACTTTTTGCACAACCAAATAGAAAAGAAATATCCTGAACTTATGACTTAGCATGTAAAAATTACTTCTATGGGTTTCCAATTGAAATCTTTTTTCTAATAAATTAGTTTCAAGAGTTGTTTCAAATATAATTTTAATAGTTCTTCTTAAGAATCAGTTCCAAATATATTAGAGACCAACCATCATTTTCTTAAAACTTTGTAACTTGCAGTCAAATATATGGATTCTGTATAGTACAAACATTTCCCTACATCAATCACCATCAGTTGGAAAGCGCCTCTCCTTAAAAAGAGAATAAAGACTCACCTTCCAGGTAGTGATCACTGCGTAAGTTTCATGGAGGATAAAAAGAAAATATTTATAAATATGAAATCGCCTCTAAACAAGGCAAGGTACATTTCCATCACATATATGAAACAATAACATGAAGATCACCCTGTTTTGTCTTCTCCAGTGAAAAGTAAAACATTTCACTTCAAGCATAAACAGATGAAATGTTGGCATGCTTACTTAAGTTCTGAGCAATAAACAGTTCAAGATATTCCAAAGACAAGAAATCCAGTTTTCATCTAGATAAAGTGCTATCCTCTTCATTGTTGTAAAATGGCCACTTACATTTTCCATTTCCATTTTAGTTCACATTATGCCCAAAGTTTGCATGTTCATCAGCGGATGCATTAGGTAACAAAAATATGTTCACAGTTTATTATAGTGTGTGGAAGTTAAGTGACTTCCAAAGGAAGCCAAGATCTATGACTCAAAAACCAGCTCAACGGCAAAACACCAAACGACCCTTTTAATTAAAGGTACCAGTACTCAAATGCTCTAATAAATACATATATAATAAAAGGGAAAAAAGTAACTACAGTGAGATGAGGTTCTTCCAAAAAAAATCTGTCTTCTCGAGCATTCTAGGAGTCTGACCCAAAGAAACAGCGCCATTCTGTTCATTCCTCCCCCTGCCCACAGACACTTCCTCTGAGCCACCTTCATACCCAGCTAACTCTGGTATTCCCTCTAGGGAAGGTTCTATATCAGCCCTGGGACTCGCCAGTGCCTCAGTAAACAGAAGGACTATGTTAAAAAGTTAAGTTGTACAATGTGCTGATAGCTGGAAAGATGCAGTGCCTTTGCTATTCCTGATAAGGAACAATGTCGATGCTGACTGGCTAAGGGGAGGTGTGCCAGCCCTGCAGCCACTGACTGCACACACCAACAGGAGTGGAAAGATACCTTGAAAAGCTTAGCAGTGCCGGATACAGAATAAACACAACTCACAGGGCCTTACAGAAGAAGTGTGACTGAAAATAAATAGCACAGAGTTATTTTCCTGAAACTTGGTTTTGGTAGAAACGTACAAAAAGTAACTTTTCATTGTCCACAAAAATTTCCTCCTTTTGGCTTTGCCTGCCCTGAGCCTTCTTAACCCCTGGAATTCTAACAGCAAGGTCAGCACAGCCCAGTGCCAATGCCAGCCAGCACCAGCCACCACGGACAGCTTCTCTTCACCCTGTTCCATGTCCAGGATGATTTTAGTATCGAGGTTACTCACTTTTCAACATTTTCACTTGCACAAACTTAAAGCTATAGTTGCAACCCTAAAAGGTGATTATCTACCCAATTCTTCTGTCCTTGTATGAGAAAAGAGGTGGAGAAGTTGAAAATGGGTAGCAATGCTTCCAGGGACAAGTTAAAGGAATGCATTGTAAGAAGACCCTGGAAGCCGTAGAAGTTTAGCAAACACTTAAAATAGACTGTAGACATTCATAGGAAATGTCACTCTAATACAGCCAGACATAACGAATGGCATAGCTTTCACCCAATCCTAAAATTAGCAACTGTTATTCATATAAATCTGACTACAATCTGATTGCAGTTAACTCTACCTCAGACCGAAATAAAACCAAGAGTAGTGTTGTATGTAAAAACAGAAAAGGAGAGAGTCTAACACAGCCAGACCATTGAGACTTGGAGTGATATCATAGTGGGCCACTAGGGAAGAAGAAAGACTGCAGAGAAACCAGGTAATAGTGCTTTGAACATTTCCCCCCACTTGAATTAGTCCCACAGTTCTTTTAAGTTACTCTCTTGACTGATAGAATAAAATATATCCAGATTCTGAATTTTTCGATATATCTGATGTCAGGCCATAGAATTCTTCAATAGCTTGAGCATCTATTTTCTGCAATAAAAAAGAAAGAAAACAATACAATTACTTAACATGATACCTGGGAAAAGGAAATAAAAAACTAATGGAACATACATTAAAATGCAAGGAACACAATTTCTTATAAAATCATGATTAGAGAACTGCGCGCAGTGGCTGATGCCTGTAATCCCAACACTTTGGGAGGCAGAAGCGGGCAGATCTCGAGGTCAAGAGATGGAGACCCTCCTGGCCAACATGGTGAAACCCCATCTCTACTAAAATACAAAATTTGTTGGGCTTGGTGATGCGTGCCTGTAGTCCCAGCTACTTGGGAGGCTGAGGCAGTTTAACCTGGGAGGCAGAGGTTACAGTGAGCCGAGATCATGTCACTGTACTCTGGCCTGGTGACAGAGGGAGACTTCGTCTCAAAAAAAAAAAAAAAAAAAATCGTGATTAGGAACTTTCACTGGCAAATGGAGAATTCCACTGACTTGGCTGAAGGTCATCATCACATAAATTGCACATCTCTAGGAAAAAAGGCAACGTCTCCATACATCAGCAACCCTGTGTGGGCATTCTTTGAAGAAACCAAGACATCTCCCAAATGGTAAACTGGTGGGTCCTGAAAATAGCCTTCAGTCTTTCCAGCCACCAGAGTTCATCTCTTTTAGTGTTATTCCACTACAACTGCTACCCTAGTGGGTTAAAATACATCATGTCTTTGAGTGTAGAATTCATTCCAGCTAGTATTCTCTTATAACAAAATCAATACATAGAATGCACTGGTGTAAGATAGATTTCCAGATCCAGCAGACTGAAAAAAAACTTTAAACAATAATCAATACAAGAAAAATTTGTTAAAATAAAATAATCTTAATAGAACTTTGAAGTCTATTGTTTGCCCTGTATCAGAGGGGGCTTTAGTCATGATGAGATAGAGAGATCCCATGTCTGTGGCTGAACTGTGGAGAACACAGAGTCGGTGAGTCCACGATCACACTCCTTCTCCCTTTCCACAGAGCATGGGGATCAGCAGAATTTGGTTTTGAATAGAAATGTAAGTGGTCTTCAAGTTACATTATGAGGAAACAGGCCTACTTTAAAAAACGTCTATATATACACATTCCCCGAAATACTATTGATGCCCTGTGACTACTGGAGAATAATCTGCAAACCAACCTCTACAATGTCATCATCAAACAAAAGCCAGAAGCCGTGACTTTTCACAATAGTGATATAATGCCCACGATTAGGACCACTGGAAAAGAACAAATAAAAGAAGTTAGCATGTTAACATTGATCTCTTTATAAAACACTACTGAGCTCTTTACAAGCAGTGATTCTCTGGGGGGAAAACTAAGTTATCAGGACAAAGATCTTGGCATAGAGCCCATGTCTATGTCCACAACACCATGCTGGATGTAGGGGAATACAAAAGTGCGCAGGAGAGGTATCTTCTAAGGACTCATAATCCAGCAGGAAAAACAGACACTCAGATTCAGCAAATATTAACAAAACATTACTCTCTACCTACTCTGTGTTGGGCCCTATTCTAGCTGTCAGGAGAAGAAGCAGTGAACAAAACAAAGACCTCACTTATTTGGGACTTGGGATAGGAGCTAGATTGGCAATACACAAACTAAGCTTATAAATCTAGGTCAAGTGGTGAGAAGTGTCATGGAGAAGGATGAAGCAGAGTAATGGGATCTGAGCGATGGCAGGAGGTGTTATTTGATAGACGGTGAAGGGAGGCCACTTGGATAATGTGGGCACAAGAAAATTTCCCTGAAGGAAATGGCAGGGATAGGAGTAGGGGTAGGGGTAGGGGGTCAGGGGGTAGGGGGAAGCCATGCGGCTCTGGATGGAAGTTTCAGAAATAGGGAATAACAAGTGGAAAGGCCTGGGGCAGGCGAGTAACACTTGGTGTGTTCACAAACAGCAGAGAGGCCAAAGGAGGCCAGAGCAGCAGAGTGAGCGGGGAGAGGAAGACCAGAGCGGACTGAGGGGCAGGTGCAGGAGAAATCGCAGGTAAGATTTTAGGCTTTGCTTCGAGCAAGCCAGGAAGATAAGGGAATTTTAAGGAGTTGTATGATCTGTTTTAGAAAAATATCAACAAACCAAGATGCTTAGTAACAAGTATTAAAATAAAAAGCCATACAGTATGCTATATGGAAAAAAGCAGAAAGAACAACTAAGCAACAGTTACTATGTAGTTAGGTTAGATTTGCACGAGTAAGGGGATTTTAATCCTAAACCTAGAACTGTTTTTTAATGCACTGTTAAAGTTGAGAAAACCTCCCCTTTTGTTTACCCTCTTTCAGCACAAGATGATGCCAATGATCTGTTTCTGCTCTTTCTCCAGCCTCCTCCAGCTACGTCTCCCTTTCCTCTGAGCTCCAGCTCCTCAGGCTCCTCTCACACATGCCCCCTTCACATTGTGGGCCTTTGCATTGCTGTAAACTCTGCCAGAGATGATCCTTCCCCAACTGCATTCTTTTTATGCCTCAGCTCAGATGTTACCTCCCCAGATAAATCTCTGCTGACCACTTCACCTGAAGAGGTATCTCCCACCACTCACTCATCTCCCTGTTTATTCCTGATAGCACTGATCAAAATCATAAAGTATCTTGCAGTGGTTTATTTTTGGTGATAATAGAGTGGTGTGGTTTTTTTTGTTCATTATCAGTATTTCCAGATAGATTGTAAGCTTTGTGATGGCAGGGCCCCTGTGCTGTGTGTCTTTTCGTTACTCTACCTTCAGATCCTGGCATGGAACCCAGAAAACATGAGCTTAAAAAAAAACCTGCAGCAGAAATCAATGCACAAGGTTGTGCACTTGCTGCAACTATGGGCCAGGAGCATGGAAGGTAAGGCAGGCCCAGCTCCCTAACCTCAAAGCTTTCCAGTGCCACCTGGAAGCCACCCAATCTCCATGCACAGGCCAGCCCCACTCCACATAGGAGAACGGCCCTACTTCTGCTGGGAGGAGTTTGAAGAATCCTAGTTAGTAGCATGCCTGATTTGGCACCAACTGATCTTTGCTGCCAGGGCCTTTCTTACCTTGTGCTCACATTACGGAAACTGACCTTAGAGAACCCAACCTCCCACTGGTCATTCAGTTCCCTCACATGGGTCTCTGCCAGTCCTCCCAAGGATTCAAATCAGATACTCACAGAGCCCCCCGTGCAAGGGGCACCTGTGTTTCTCCTTCGCCTAGCTTTCCCAGCAGGCCCTCCCATCCACACCACCCCTGCCACCCACTTTAGCTGCAATGCCTACCAGGTCCCAGGCTCTGCCTGCCCTAAGACCTTCTCCAACCCTGCACCAATGTGAGGCCTCACCCAGCGCTCAAGGCTAGGTTCCAGTGATCTGGAAACCTGTGCTCTTCAAAAGAGTAACACCTGTTCTTCAGGGAAGAACACCACAACACAGGTATACAACTAGCCCATACATACAATTTTACTGAGAATACAAGAAAATATCCAGTGACTTAAAGTCAATACACACAGGACAAAATATGGGGTGCTTCAGATATGAAGTTACAGTTTCGGATACATCCACCCTAGCACACAATTAAAAAACAAATTAATCCATCCCTCCACGTGGCAATGGTAGTCTTCTGGTAATGTGTTCACTATAATCCATCTCAGCAGATGGAGAAAAAGACTCTTTCTCTGTGATAGGCCCCAATCTAAAACCTAGGAGGGCAGGAGGAAAGCTGTGCCTACCCGCAAGGTAGCACATAAAGCTGTCCCAGCTGAGCAAAGAATAACAAACAGGTGAATTTTCAGTATATTCTTCTGCATTTATACCAAATTACGGAATAAAAAAATCTTCTCAAATTTCGGCAAAATGCTTTGCCTCTCCGTATCTAGAGGCCTTCTCTCTCTTACTTTCTTTTTTCTGATTATATACTTATTTTAGAATTTGGGGAAAGACCAAAAATAACAAAGAATATTTTTTAAGAATATGTTCTTAATCACTCAAGTGCCAAAGATTATTAAATTTGATCCATTGCTTCTAGTCTTTATTTACACATCTTAAAATGCTTTTGAGATCATACTGTAAATCTAACTTGGCTTTTTAAAAATTAAAATCATAGCATAGACATTTGTTTCTCCATGTTATTTCAAATTCCTCAGAACCATTATTTCTATGCAATGAAGATTTATTATTTCTCTCATAACAGAACATTTAGATGATCACTGTTGGAATGCTATTTTTTAAATGTGTCTGTAGGCATGTTTATGTATTTATTGAGATGATTAGTAAGAGTTTGGAAGAGATCCCAAAAACGCTTAGTGCCATGGCACAGGAAAGGTGCAGCTGGATATATTTCAGCCAAGGGTAACCTTACGCTTACCCTGTGCACCTGCTTCCGGTCGTGCCCTTACCTGCCACAGTGAACAACCACAGCAACCAGGTCATACATGCGGTCCAGGTTCACTGCATCACTGGAGGTGTTGAAGAGCCGGAGCTCCAGAGGGAAGACCACACGGTAAGACAGCTTGGTGTATCTGTGCAACTGTTCCATGTACTTGAACCGCTTTAGATGTAGGGCCAAGATCATGGGCAGCTTTTTTACTCTCATCCTAAGAAACCATGAAATAGAAAATCAGTTGTACCCAACACCCGTTAGGTGAAGAGAATACACTGCCATCTGCACAAACAGAACAGGAGGGGAGGTCTATGAAACTTCAAACCAGCAAACAACCAAATAGTTTGCAAGGATAAAAGTATGCTGGCTTATGTAGAGCTGACTTATCCTATATCCCTGGCTCCCAAGAGCATTCCAGCAGGAGAAATGTACAATGGTGTGACTCTGTTTGGTGAAAGGTGATGTTCCAGAATTTTCGCACAAATAAAAATAGGCCATGCAATTATTCTCCATCACTGCCCTGTGCCTTCCAGAGAGGAATGATATTTGGACAATCTTCCCTGAGATGATGGAAAGGAGGTTTAAGAGATTTTGAGAACAGGAGGCTGGGAAGAGGACAAGGTGGATAGTACCGACGGCTGGACTCATAGGTTCTGAGGACTGGCAGGGGGATGGATGCTTCTGACACACACTCTTGGGCATCAGGACACCAAGCGTGCCAGGCTCAATATCATTCTGACCCTTGTGATTTTGGGCAAGTCATTTCCTTCCTCTAGCTCTAGTTCCTCATTTATAAAATGCAGGGGTTGGTTTAGGGCTATATTTCCCAAACTGGGCTCATGAGAGCACTGGAAATGTTAACAGATGTGGTGTTTCTGTGGCCAAGTAAGTTTGGGCGATGCTACTTTCTGCTTTGAAGATCCTATGTGTACATTACCAGACTGAAGATTTTGAGAAATCCTCCAGTAAAGGGATTGTTCTGTTGTTTGATGTTGGATTTCCCAAATATATAAACATAGAAAGTTTTTTTTACTAGGTGACCATTAACACTCCTCAGTAAAAAGTCACAAAGGTAACAGTTTATGCAGAGCACACTGCTAGAATAGAGGTTCTTCCAGTTTCCTTCCAGCCCCCCATTCCATGAATGTACTGAATTAAGTGTACATGCTGTTTAGTTTGTGTACATTTTTAATGCATAGTATGTGAAAAGGACAAATTTTAAAAGAATAGTTTTAAGGAACCTATTAAGGAAAAGCCCTGGTCATAAAAATAAGCAAGTAAAACATCAGTAGAAAAATAAGAATTACAAGGAACCCCATATTTCATAGGAATACAAGACATTGTAATGTATAAACCCTCCAGGGCTGAACAAAAATGTCTAAGTGCCACAAAGAAAGACCCAAGGCCAGTCTTAGACAGACTGAGGTCGTAAGGATGGGGGGCAGATGTGAGTGACCTTCCTCACTAACAAAAGGTACCTGCCTACCTCCTTGACGCCTGCCTGCAATGTGACTAACTTTGTGTAAGTTTTGCAGCAAAGAAAGTAGTACATGTTTGGGGTGAAGGCCTGGGAAGGCTGGGCAGAGAAATGATCTCAATCTCAGGTCTAGACCCTTGAGGGTTTTAGACAGCAGTATTGAGCATCTGTCAGCTGCCCTGAATACTGCCAAGACAGATTTAACTCACAGGAAGCCTTCGCGGGAGACTGAAATGGCAACTTTCCTGGCTTGTAGGGTGGACTAATGGGGAACAACTGGTTATTTCAGATTTTCCAAAAGCTGTAACTGTCTGGTATGCAAAAAAGATGGAGAACATTGGGTCTTATTTCAATTCAGAATGCAGTAACTTTCAAACTTTCTTATCACCTGTTTTTTTTTTCTTTTTTTGAGACAGAGTCTTACTCTGTCACCCAGGCTGGAGTGCAGTGGCACAATCTCAGCTCACTACAACCTCCGCCTCCAAGGCTCAAGAGATTCTCCTGCCTCAGCCTTCCGAGTAGCTGGGATTATAGGCGCAAGCCACCACACCTGGCTAATTTTTGTCTGTTTATTAGAGATAGGGTTTCACCATGTTGGCCAGAATGGTCTCAAACTCCTGACCTCAAGTGATTGGCCTGCCTTAGCTTCCCAAAGTATGCTGGGATTAAAGGTCACTGTGCCCCGCCTCTTATCACCTATTCTTACAACTGATGTGTTAATAATTTCCTCACAAGTCCTTATGAAATGATACATATATTTTAAACCTCTGTCTCTAAAAAAGAGGTCCCAATGTTTACGCAATACAAATGAAAATAATATTGGGTGTCTACTATTTGTTATATACTATTCTAAGTACTTTCTATAATTTACCCTTAATTCCAAGAGAATAGTGATTATATTTTATTACTACTTGTTTATCCAGCATAAAAAAGTATCTGGCACATGATAGCACTCAACAAGTATTTGCTGAATGACTGAATGAATGAACAAATGAGTAAACAATCGGACAGACAGCTCTCCAAGTTGTCCTCACCAAGGTCAGCGTTCTTGTCTCAGTTTCACTGGTGAGGAGGGTAACTGACTTCCCCAAGGCTCCATGGCTATGAGCCCAGGAAGCTGAGATTCAAAGCCAACCCTGCTGGGCCCCACGGTCTGGATCCCTCTCACTACACAAAGCCACCCCTGAGCTAAATCTTCACCTACCTTTTCTGGGCTTCCTGTTTGCTGCAGCATGTTTCACAATAATATTTTTGTTCACTACACAGTGTTTCTGTGTTGCTGAAGTCTCTGCAGAGGGAAGTATTTTCATCTTTAAAAAATGTTCAAATCTACTTGGCATACCATGTTTTAAATCCCTCAATTAACCTGTAGGGTCATTTTTAAGTAAAAATTAGAGAAGTAATCAGAAAAAAATCTTCCTTAAGATTAGAATGGCAGGAGAAACTACAGGATAATAAATACAAATAAAAGGTCTAGGTGCCATTATGCTGACAGACACTCTCTTTTCATTGAATCATAAATTTACTATGAGAGATTTTTCAAATATAGCTTTATTTAATGGAACACAGGCAGATATAAACTAGGGTTTCCAACTGCATTCAGAAAAAAACCTCGTGATTTAACGAAGAATACCTATAAGCTACAAATTAAAATCGTAATAGAAAAATACTATCAAGAGTAAAGGCTCATCATAAACACTAAAACTTAGGTCCAAAAAAGTCAATCACATAACGTGCAAGGTGACATTATTGTGTACTTAATGAAAAACAGCATTTCTCTGGTAGTCCAGATTTTCAAAGAGCATGAAAGTAGGAAGATAATGAAATTCAAACCATATACAAAACTGCCCTCTTCTTGAACTAAGGAAATCCTGAATTAATCAGATGACCACCTCCTACCAACCCCTGCTCCCACCACTCCCCTGACAGAGGATAAGAACTTCCGCCTGCCTTCTTTGGAGAACGAAAGTCATTGTGTTTGTCATATGTGTATCTGCCTTATCATGAGTTCTACTCTGCTACTTATGATTTTCATTTTTTAAATGTCATGGTTTTTCATTCTTTTCCAGCCATCAATATTCTACTTAACATTTCTGTGGTACTGCTTCAAAGGCTGAAAAGAACATCCAGACTAATACCCGACAGCTTTGAAAAATTCTGTGACATTTCCTTGTTCATAGAGAGTCCTAGTACCAGAATGACCAGATTTTATTAAACAGAAAATGTTAAATGATTCTACCATTTACACAGAACACATCAAAAGAAAACATAGATTCTTTCATTCATTAAGTCCCCAAATGTTTACTGTCAGTCCTCTGGGCTACGTTCTGGGGATCCAGCGAATAACTGCCCTCATATGGCTCACATTTTAACAGAGATACATGCAAATGAACCACTGAAACATAAAACGATCAGTACAGCTTCAACAGAAAGCATTACATGGTTCCTCCCCTACTGAAACCCTCCAGCAATTTCCGGTGCACTATCCACCCAGCTTCCTTCTCTCTGCTCCAGCTGCACTGGCCCTAGGATATCCTCTTCTTGCCTTACGATGTTTGCAGGTGCTATTTTCTCAGCAATGCGAGCTTCCTCCCACAGGCTTCCAAAGCTGGCTGAACTGGTTGTTTGGCACTAAGCCTACACATCCTCTTTTTGAAGAAGACTTCTCTGACCATTTTCTCCAAGCCTATCCAGCCCCTATCATATTGCTGCCTTGTTTCTCTCCAGCATCTGGAGAGAAAAAACCCATTCTTCTGTCATTCGATTACTTGCCTCCCCTCTATGTGGGCAGTGGCCTTGTCATTCCTATATGCCCAACATGACACACAATGGCACACATTAATATGTTGATTGAATGAATAAACAAACAAAGACAGAAGCAGGTGTAAAGTCCAGGAGAAAGCCCAAAGAGGGAAAGTATGCCAGGGGAACAAGTGAATAAGAGTCAAGGACTCCAGAGAGAGAACATAGCAGTGCAGAGGCCTGGAGGGAGGGGGTAGCAGCAGCGGTATATTAGTCCGTTCTCATGCTGCTAATGAAGACATACCTGAGACAGGATAATTTATAAAGAAAAAGAGGTTTAATGGACTCACAATTTCACATGGCTGGGGAAGCCTCACAATCATATGAGAAGGCAAAGGAGGAGCAAGTCACATCTCACATGGCAGCAGGCAAGAGAGTTTGTGCAGGGGAACTCCCATTTATAAACCATCAGATCTTGTGAGACTCATTCACTACCACGAGAACAGTATGGGAGAAACCTCTCCCATGATTCAATTATCTCCACCTGGCCCCACCCTTGACATGTGGGAATTATTACAATTCAAGTGAAATTCAGGAAGGGACACAGCCAAACAATATCAGGTGGCAAGTCACATAGCCTTGAGTATGCTACCAAGAAGCCAGCATGGACCCTAACCAACAGTCTCAACAAAGAAAAGACACAGATTGTGCTTTTTAAAAATTCCACTTCTGACAGCATGGTGGAGGGGGAAATGGAGAGGATCAAAAAGCAAGAAACCATCAACTTTCAGGTTTCAAGTACATGGTGCATAAAACAGAATACTTCGCTGAACGAATACTTCAACTGAGTAACAGCTGTGGAATCTTGTTTTGCCTACATGGGATTAACTGGAGTAGAATAGGGGAGCAGAGGGGGTGAGGTGAGTATCGGCATGGTGGAGCTTCATATCCTCCCAGTGTCTACCACAGACAAGCCACACTACCAAGCTATAGGGTCACAAGAGCCAAAGAAAGTCCAGCAATAAATAAAGAATCATGGAAACACAACAGAAGTTAGTACCTAATGTGAAGACCCATTTTACAAAGAAGCCGGTTGAACCAGTAATGCTCTTAGGGCATCCATGAGTTGAGAATTGTAAAACAAAGGTGAGTTAGGAGAAGAGGGGGGACCACAGCAGTAAATGTTGAGGCAGAGCAGCTGTCAGTTAATGCTCTATATTTGTTGGCTCAAAAGTGGGCAACAGTGGTGGAGGAAACTCTTCAAGTCAAGGGGGCACTTGCTCTTTCCAACACTTGGGATAAATTACCAAAGCACAGAGGAGAGGTTGAGAGAAAAACACAAAATGTTTTGTGTTGCTTTAAAAAGAGGCAGAGCAGCAATAAAATATGATTTAAAAATACACTTTTGGGCTTGATATGGTTTAGATCTGTGTCCCGACCCAAATCTCATATTCAATTGTAGCCGCTGATGTTGGAGGTAGGACCTGGTGGAAGGTGACTGGATCACGGGGGCAGAATTCTCATGAATGGTTTAGCATCATCCTCCTGGTGCTGTCCTCCCCATACATTGGGAGTGAATTCTTTCGAGATCTGGCCATTTAAAAGTGTTTAGCCCCTCCTCCAACCACTGGCTTCAGCTCCAGTTAAGTGATGTGCCTGCTCCCCCTTCACCTTCTGCCATAATTGCAAATGTCCTAAGGCTTCCCCAGAAGCCGAGCAGATGCCAGTGCCATGCTTTCTGTACAGGCTGCAGAACCATGAGCTAATTAAACCTCTTTTATTTATAAATTACTCGGTCTCAACAGAAATTCAGGAATGGACTAATACAAGACTAATACTAATGGACTAAAAGTAGTGAGTTATCTCAACTAATGATTCACAGTTAGCTATAGATCAAACTCCTCATTCTACTATTTCCCCCTTTCTCATATAGGAAGGAAAGAGGGAGGGAAAGAAGGAAGGAAGGGAGGGAGGGCGGAAGGGGAGTAAAGGAAAGGGAGAAAGAGAAGAAAGAAAATACACTTTGGGAACAAATCTAATAAGAAAATGCATACTTTTATAAAGGACACACTAAAGCCTTATGCAAATATTTTAAAAACTTGAAAAAAATGGAGAAAGACTTTTTCGATGGGAAGACTATCATTTATTGTAAACACAGCGACTGTTCAAGTTAATGTCTTTGATACATGTTCAATTAAAATTACTTTTTCACTCGCTACAATAATTCAAAATTGATACTAAAAATCCTTAAGCAGTGCTTCCTGATAATTTCCATGTCATGATCCACACAGATATACTACATGAGAAATATACTAGGATATACTGACAAGGCTGCTCCTAGAGCTGGCCATGGGGCTCTGGCACTGCCAGGCCCTCCCAGACTCCCAGGAGCTGAGGGGATGAATACATACCTCTAACCCATTTTCCCTGACTCACTAGTCAGGAAATTTTGTCCTAGAATCTAGTGAAGTGGTTTTCCTCCTGGCTGCTCATTAGAATCATCTGAGGAGCTTTAAAAACAATCCCATATGAAAAAATGCTCATCATCACTGGTCATTAGAGAAATGCAAATCAAAACCACATTGAGATACCATCTCATGCCAGTTAGAATGGCGATCATTAAAAAATCTGGAGACAACAGATGCTGGAGAGGATGTGGAGAAAAAGGAACACTTTTACACTGTTGGTGGGAGTGTAAACTAGTTCGGCCATTGTGGAAGACAGTGTGGCGATTCCTCAAGGCCTTAGAAATAGAAATTCCAGTTGACCCAGCAATCCCATTACTGGGTATATATCCAAAGGACTATAAATCATTCTACTATAAAGACACATGCACACGAATGTTCATTGCAGCACTGTTTACAATAGCAAAGACCTGGAACCAACCCAAATGCCCATCGATGATAGACTGGATTGGGAAAATGTGGCAAATATACACCATGGAATATTATGCAGCAATCAAAAATGATAAGTTCGTGTCATTTGTAGGGACATGGATGAATCTGGAGAACATCATTCTCAGCAAACTGACACAAGAACAGAAAATGAAATACTGCATATTCTCACTCATAGGTGGGTGATGAAAAATGAGAACACATGGACACAGGGAAGGGAGTACCAAACACTGGGGTCTATGGGTGGGAAGAGGAGAGGGACAGCGGAGGGGGGAACTGGGGAGGGATAGCCTGGGGAGAAATGCCAAATGTGGGTGAAGGGGAGGAAGGCAGCAAAACACACTGCCATGTGTGTACCTAGGCAAATGTCTTACATGTTCCGCACATGTACCCCAAAACCTAAAATGCAATAAAAATAAATAAATAAATAATAATTTCTTTTAAAATGTGCTATCATTGCCTTCAGAGTATTCACAATTTACATATGCACTCTAAGTTTTATTTGCACCTAAATTGCCAGGTACTATAGTGGGAATACAAGCTGGAACACCATGGTAGCATTGTAATTATCCTTAGGAGGATCATTGTATAAAGAAAACCAGCCTGACATTGTTCAATAAACTAACATATTTGTGTAGCAAAAAAATAAATA